CAGTGCCCATTGAAAAGAGGCACTTCTTTGCAGCACCAATGATTTGTGCTGATCAAAGTGCAAACCAAGTTTCTTAAATCTGAGAAGACGCGAGACAAAGTTCTTTCCTCGATTGCGTCACATTGTCATATGTACATACGGAGCTATTCACGAAGTTAGTGGCATACAGTGTTTAGTTTCATTCATCCAGAATAAAGTCAATCACTTCTGCGAATACCGTCTGGGTGACGGTCTGACTTACTTTAAATCCATTAGTAGGGTCATTTTTACATCAAACTCTGAGCCATAATGACATTGGCTTAAGAAATAAATATTATAAGTGTCAATGAATACGATTAATCCATAACTAATTTGCTAAAAGATCAACTACCTTTACGAGACACCCTTTTCCTATTTTTTGCACCCGCACTCTGTAAGGAGTGATATGCTTAATGTTACTGATTAATAATCGCTGGTTTTATATGATGAATATGCCTGCTGAGAATATATAAAAAAATATTTCGATAAATTCATGGCATGGAGGTGCCATAGGCCGTAAGGAAAATAGTGAAAAAAATCGAGGTGAGAGCTTAATGTAGTGACCCTTAACTCAAAGACCATATGTTCGTATTATAGTAGATGATTGTCGCAGTATCAGTCTTTCCAAAAACGGTTGTCGAATTGACTATCGATGCAAAAATTAATTGAACAGTAGAGTATAAATTAGAGTATCAACGATCTATTAAACACAATCTGATTCGATAAACTAGTAGTAACGTAATATGTTCGAAGGAAAAATTTTTATCTGACAATATGGTCAGTGACCTCCAGAAACTTTCCTCATCGTGCAGCGGAATTTCGTCGCTGTATGTATGCTACCGCAGCTGTAATTGAATCGGAAAGGCAATCCAGCAGGGGAGCAACTCGCTAAGTTTCTTGATCCGTTAGTTAATAATTATCAGCAACAGCGAAGACAAGCTGCAAATGGGCAAAGATTTCTCAATAAATAAAAGTAACGGTGAAGACACTCTGTAACTGGAAAAAGATCTGCAGGAGATTGATTCAAATATCCATTGAAAATTTATTATCGTACTGAATCTTGTTAGAAACGTTGTGCATAAGGAGCTCACCACCAATTCCACATCAGCGTAACAGGCATGCGAGCAGACAAAGAACAATTGAAGGATTGAATGTCAGGGTGAATATCGCGGAGTGTATTTTTCGTATTCGTGATCAGCTGTCTTGACAGCCTGATATTCTTGGATAACGAGAACATAGTAATCAAAGATCGATAATCACGTTTATGCCACACACCTGTGGCGTGGTGGACCAGTGCATAAGAGGTCTCGGCTTCCAATTCCGGAAGTGAGGATTCAATTTCGGAGGACGGTAATCTTCGTCTCGATCAGGAATTCCATCGAGCAAGGAATTTAGAAGACGTTGTTTCAGGCTAGAAATGCCTAGTCAGTAGAACGTCAGAAGCCGGGGAGTTGTGGGTTCTAGTCCCGGTAGGAATCACTCGCTCTCCTTGCTTTGAAGCTGATAAATGAGTACCACTCCGTATGCTTGTCATATAACTGCTGCTGACTCTGTCTTTAAAAAATATGACACTCCTCACTGACAATAAACTAGTCAGTTTCGATTACTGCCTATCCTTTCGGATCTCCGAAACAGACGAGTCAAACAATGTCTCCAACGCTCCCAGTAGTATACCAATTTTTGAGCTTCAGCAGAAAATAACCCAAGTCTGAGGCCCAATTCTTGAGGACACTTGCTCTAGGTTATTCTTGGCCCTCTCCGGAAAATTTGGCCTGTTGGTTCAGCAAATAGTCGCTGTTTCGCCTTCCTTTGTGGTGTATTTGCAAGACGAGCTTAAACATCGCAGCTGTGACTTCCCAATCTGAAAAGCAGTGGCGGTACACCAAAGCAATCTCGGGCATCTGCATTTCGAACCATGCCGAGACTCGTGAGCCCAGCAATTCTTCTCAGAAAGCCAATTTCAGTCGCTTGTACTTCCGGCTGATGACAAGGAAATGGAGGTCAGTACTCCATCATTATCTTGAAATTGCAAGGAAGACAATATACAAGTAGTTGCAAACTTCGCTTCTTTTCCTTTACACTTTACTGTCTCGGTGAAGAACACACTGACTGCCAACTCATACAACAAAATTGTGGACAGTCACTGATGTTAACCCCAGAATAATGAAAGTGCAAACATTTAATCATGTTTAACGGCTTAACAGGGAAGAAGACTTCTGGTTGAAACGGAAGATGTGATCTAAATGACGCTGGATGAATGATATAAGTAAACGGAGAAGAACATGTCATTCTGCCTAATGCATGTTTAGGGTAATGCCGCCTAATAATGTTATTCAGGTTTAAGCAGTACCCTGTTTTTCTTCCAGGACGATGAGATCGATTGGAGTCACCTGTTATGCGCCTTATCTACGGCTCGACAGTCGATGTACGAATCAGCGACTCATCCTTCTTAGGCAGTCTGAGAGAAACAACTGCCTGGCCTCGTATCCAACGCTGATCACCATTTAGCACTATTCCAATTCAATAGATTCTTATTACTGGAAACGGGAAGGTATCCCGAGCTAAAATTAATAAGTTAACGATTAGCAGATTTTAGCACTTCTGATTGTTTCATGGTGAGGCGATCAAAAAACGAAATCCCCAGAAGAGATGGCAAAGATTGTTCTTGGTCATTTGTTCATTGCTTTAAAACGCGATTTTGAACTCGTTTAAACAATGAATATTATTTGAAGGAAAACTTTTCGCTGGCGCGTATTTCACCACGATCTCGATATACATGTCTTTATTGGATGAAGATAATTTTGAGCAGTCTATAATGCTACTGATTGTTATGACGACTTTTAGTGTTAAATTAAATATATTATTGCTTTTTGTATTTGCCTTCCAACTCGCCATTCACTTCATCCATGCGGAGCTAACTACTCGTGGTGAAATGGAAGTACGGCGGATTTCCGGATTCTATGTTATCCAGTTAATTGAAAATTTGAATTTGGTTTTGCAGTCTGTTTTCAGGAGGGCTATGGGTTATGATGCCCCTTGCTAGGAATGTAACCGAGGTCAAGAGATTTTAGTAGCACGGCCTGAAAATATTGAAGAATTTCTCAACAGCACTGAATTTAGAAAGCGGTGTTCAAATCCATTTTTTGTCGACTTATTTCTGAAACAGTACCAATCCTCACCAAGATGAGAGTCACATTTTGTAGGGAATTGCGCAGTTTAAGATTCAAGACATGGAGAACGATATCTTGCTGACCTGGAGTGCACAGGTGATACCTGGAGTGCACAGATGATTGTCCTGATGAATATTACAAACAGGGCCTTCGTCCCGCAATGAGTTACCTATCGACGTAGTTGTGAAAATCGGCGCTTTTTTTCACACCTGGTAGCCAAGGCTATGAAAAATCCTTCTAACATGGCTGATCTACTAGTGGAACATCGATGTAAGGGAAGTCGACCAAATT